GTTTGTTCACAGATGAGCGCTGTGGAATAACTGTGGGGGTCCTACACACCTGGTGGGTCCCGCCCACCGCCCAGTAGCCTACCTCTCCAAACAGCTTGATACCACTGTTCAGGGTGGCAACCCTGCCTACAGGCACTAGCGGCAGCCACTGTTCTAACCAAGGAGGCTTTAAAACTTTCCTTACATCACCATATCACTGTCTTCTCCCCTCACAGAGTCCATGAACTGCTGGGACATCGGGTGCTCTCCCTCCTAGGCCCCTCCAGGATACAGGAGTTCCATTTGTTGTTCCTTGACAACCCGGGGGTAACTCTGAAGCCTTTACCACCCCTTAACCCGGCATCCCTGCTCCCTCTCCCCTCCTCTGAGGCAAGGCCTACCCACTCTTGCCTGGAGGTGGTGGAGGCCCTAACTCCGCCTAGGCACGGACTCTCAGATCAGCCACTTCAGTCCCTAGACCTTACTTTGTTCATGGATGGTAGTTCTGTCTGCACCCCACAAGGCCACTGATGGGCAGCCTATGCTGTAGTCTCTGCTGAGTCTGTTCTCGAGGCCTAGCCCCTTCCCCTGGGCACCACTTCACAAAAAGCAGAGCTTGTTGCTCTTACATGGGCTCTCGAACTTTCTAAAGGGCAGCGGTAACCATCTACATCGACTCCCGTTATGCCTTCCTCATTGCTCATTCCCATGCCGCCATTTGGAAGGAAAGAGGATATCTCACCACTAAGGGCACACCCATTACCAATGCCAAACTAATTTCTAAACTACTCCAGGCCCTGCACAGCCCACGGGAAGTCGCCATTGTCCACTGTCGAGGCCATCAAGCCTCACAAGATCCGGTGGCCAAGGGCAATGCCTGGGCAGACTCTGTCACTAGGGGACTAACCCAGGTCACGCCTCCATCCCCCCTCCTCTTCCTTTCTCCCTCCCTACAACCCCAGTACCTCCCCGAGGCGTGGCAGTCCCTATTAGATAAGGGGGGCCATGTCACACAGCAAGACTGGATCACGCTGGGGGATCGTGTTGCGCTACCACAAAACCAGGCCTCCCATATTTTAACAGAAGTCCACCGCTCTCTGCACATTGGACCTGAGGCCATGTATAGGTTTCTCTCTCCTATATTCCATCTGATGGGTTTAAAAAGGCTTATCTCTCAGGTCCATGCTGCGTGTTCAGTCTGCTCTGCCATCACTCCACAGGGAGGATTGTGCCCCAGTATTCTCACTTACCAGATGAGGGGACACCTCCCAGCCGAGGACTGGCAAATGGACTTTACCCATATGCCTGTCCACAAAAAATTTTGGTATTTGCTCACTCTAGTGGATACCTTTTCAGGCTGGATCGAGGCCTTCCCCACTGCCAAGGAAACAGCTGACGTCATGGCCACCGTCCTTCTGGAACACATCATCTCCAGGTTCGGCCTCCCAGCCAACATCCAGACGGACAACGGACCTGCCTTCACCGCCAAAGTTGTCCAGCAGGTGGCTGCTAGCCTGGGAGTAACCTGGAAACTCCACACCCCTTACCACCCACAGTCTTCTGGTAAGGTAGAAAGGGCAAATGGCGTTTTAAAAACATACCTCACCAAGCTCACCCTAGAGGTAAAACTCGGCTGGCCTGCCCTCCTCCCACTCGCCCTCTCCGGAATAAGGGCGGCTCCGAGGGCTCCGTTGGGTCTCAGCCCTTTTGAGTTGCTGTGTGGCAGGCCCTTTTTAATCAATCACAACCTACTCTCCTCACCACCTCTGCTTGCTTCCTACTTGCCTTACTTGTCTCTGCTTAGGCAGTTGCTACGGGAGCACGCGGAGCGAACCCTTCCCACAGTCACTCCTGACAACCCATCAAATCCGGTTTGTACGACCCTCCAGCTGGGGGATTCAGTCCTCAAACAACTTTCCCCTCAAGCTCTAACCCCCTAGTGGGTTGGCCCATTCACGGTGGTCCTCACCACCCCCACAGCTGCCAAATTACTGGGACACTCCCCCTGGTATCATGTCTCCTGTCTCAAATTGGCCCCGGCCACGGAGGCCCCTTGGCAATGTCAACAGGTGGGATCTACCCATCTTTGCCTCACCCAGGGTCCTGCTACTCACTCTAGTCCTGCTGCCTCTCTCACACACAACACCACCAGATGATGGCTACCACTGGCAGTTTTACATTGAAGAAACAGCCCAGTCTTACGGTAAAGTCATTACTGAGGTTGTGGGCACTGGACTGTGCCAGCCCCGGGGGTGCCAGGCACCAGTCACCATCGACATCTCAGTAGGCAGCATGAACTCCATCAGCCTGGGTGCAACCCCAACCCCGGTCTTCTGTTTCCAATATGACCAAGCTAATGCCAAATGTAACCGGAGGCCTCAGGCATATTGAGGTTGTGCATATAATTGGTGCAAAATGCACAAGGTCTACCCTCTCATCCACCTGGGAAAACTTACCCATTTCACCGTCTCTGATCCCTGGCACCCCAGGTGGGCGCAGGGGGTCGAGGGAGTTGTTTACAATTTCTGGCTAAACTCCAAACCATCAGGAAAACTCCGCATTTTCCGAACATACCGCCTTGCTTTTCCTCCCCCTAACAAACTTCCCAGCCTTATTGCAGAAGCAGAAACTTCTTTGGCTAACCAACTCCCCCCACCCAAGTGCTGACCGCCCTTCTCTGTTCTCTTGGCTCCATTTAATACAAGAAGGTATCTCATTACTCAACCACTCTTCGGTTGGGAATGTAAGTAACTGCTTCCTTTGCGCCACTCTAAACCAATCCCCTTTAACAGCAGCTCCTGTCACACAATTGTTCCATGCCTCTAGTGGGCCAGTTAACCAGCCTCCTCCTATCCCTGGAGTTGCTTTGTTCTGGCCCCTCAGTAGCCTCTCTAATACCTGTTATACCAGCTCCTGCACATGCAACATCTCCAGACCCATGCCATCTACTCTATCTGCTCCAAGGGGTGGGTTCTTTTGGTGTAACGGCACCCTCTTCAAATCTATCAGTAATTCTTACCCTTGTTGCTATCCATTAATGCTTGTGCCACAGCTTATGTTCTATTCTGAAGAAGAACTCTTACTCAAAGCCTTTCCACTCTCTGCCGCGCCCGCCGTGAGGTATTTCTTCCCCTCATGCTCGGTCTCACGTTTGCCACGTCCTTGGCGGCTGGAGGACTGGGCAGGGGAGCACTGGGACACAGCCTCCTTTCTTCCCAAAATCTGGAAGAAAGGCTCCAAGCCGCTCTGGAAGCATCCACAAGTTCCCTGGCATCCCTGCAGCGGCAAATGACCTCTCTAGCCCGGGTTACTTTACAGAACCACAGGGCTCTTGATCTCCTTATAGCCGGCCAGGGTGGAACCTGCGTGTTTCTCCAGCTGTTTCTATATTAATGAAACAGGGCTGGTAGAGGAGAATGTCATCGTCCTCCGAAGGCTGGGAGACGAACTTCACCAAAAAAGCACTGCAGAATTGCCCTTTTCTGCTTGGTGGAATTCGGGCATCGCCCAATGGGTCATGGCATTCTTGGGACCTGTTCTACTTATCTGTCTTTTACTTATGGTTACACCCAGTCTGTTTAATTTTTTGCAGTCTCGCATGAAAGAAATTTCTCGTGTCGCAGTCAATCAGCTACTCCTGCACCCGTACCCATATGCCCCACTTCCCTCCGAGCCACCCCATCCCGGTCTCCCCTAAAACTGCACCCCCTTTCAGCTTGAAGCAGTCAGATTGAGTCAGCACCCCTTATACCAAAGAGGTCGGTATGTTAGGCTCAGGGAGAAGCAGTACTCACCTTCCCCCATCTGCCCCTTCACCCACCCATCCCCTATGCGCCCCTCCACCCCAAACCCACAACCACATACCTCGCTTGAAGCTTCCTGGAACCTGCCACCAGCTGCCGAGAAGGGCCAGATGCAACGCCTCCAACCCACACCAGATGCAATGCTTTGTCTCGCCACTTCACTGCTGCCCCCACCACCCTCCCAAAAACAACACCCTTAAAAACCCAAGCCTGCCCCTCCTTGGGAGCGACTCCCCTGGCCCGTCTGTCCAGACCACAGGACCTCGCCCTGGGAGTTTCTTCCCCAATACACGCTTGGTTTATACTGGCCCTTTGTCCTGTGCCTCTTTCGGTATCTCCAAGCGTTACAATCAGGGGATATGAAGATGTGGATGAGTAAACATATATGTTATTTCAATATTCAACTTAATCTATGTCTGCGTGCTTCACTTCATGGAGATTGTGGGCTCACGGGTCAGCTCTGGAGTGTCCTGGCTGGGATAAGTCTGAGAATGAGCTTCTGGGAGGGTTCCTGGCTCCGGAAATTAAGAGCATGTATTGCCACGAGGAAGCTATCTTGTCAGGTAGAGAGGATGAGTCAGGGAAGACTTCCTGGCAGAAGTGACTCTTGAACTGAGTTGTGAAGGACGTATCGGGATTTCCACAGGGAGAAGGTGGATGAGAAGGTAATCTCAATGAGGATGCGCATGCACACAGCACAAGCTGAGGATTAGAGAGAACAGTCAGGGTGGCAAGTGGAAAAAGAGAGCCAGGGAGTCAGGATCTGAGGAGTGGGTGGAGATGGGCAAGAGTTGGGAATGACCCAAGGAGCAGGCTCACCCATGCAGGCAAGATGGGAGTTGGTAAGTTTGTGACTGCTGTTCCTTGCTCTCTCTGGACCTGAGGCAATGAGTTGGAAGGGCAAGGAGTACAAGGAATTGTGTGTGTGTGCATGTATATGTGTATATGTGCATGCATGTGTGGATATGTGTTCGTGTGTGTGCATGCGTGGATGTATATGTGTGTGTGTTGAGGGCTACATGGAGGATGATGAACAGACTATTTACCTTTCACATAAGATGTTACCTATGCCAGGGTGAGGCGAGTAGAACTCTGGTGTGGATCTGTGGCTTTGAGTTGAATAAGCTAAGGAGGTGCTTTCTGGTTCACACTTATTATATTCAAATCTCTGCTTCTTCAGTGAAAAAATAATTCAGAAAATTCATAAAGAGTATTGAATTTAAAACAGATTTTATTGCCCTGCCAGCTATGGGGTGACCAGTGAATACCAATGGAAACTTCTTAATTAAATACATGTATTTAAAACATTCAATGATTGATTGTACTGTGTGCCAAGCTCGGTGTGTCACATGTTTCGTGTCCTAAAAAGGTTCACAATTCATTCAGAGAGGCATTGTTGGCCAAGATTAGAGGCCAACAATGTCATCGAAAGACCATGGGGTTGGAGATAGGGAATAAAATCATAAAATCATGGAGAGACACAAGCCTACATATTTGAACCACGGGTAATGCATCTCCTTAAAGCACTTCTATATCATATGCCAGAGGGCCTTCGATGGAAAATCCCAGGTAGAAAGACACCCTCTCTATGTTCCTGCCGCTCCTGAGTGGGCCTGAGTAAACAGATGTCACTGGTATTTTTATCTTCTCCTCTGTTCCGTATTCTACGGAGATAATTTTGCCTTCCGCCTGGCCAACCAGACGACGCAGGAGGTCCTTGACTTCCTTTTTTTTCCATACATCTCCACTCTGCCAGAGGGAGTTTGTGTTGTGGACTTTACTGAAATACCGCTCTATCTCAGCCTTGTGAACAATCCCATGGAGACCCTTCCTCGCGCTCAGGTAAAAAAGCGTGCTCGCCTGCTTGGACCGGCACATACGCTTGTACTGTCCCCGGAAGGACCGATTCAAGGAGGAGACATACCTTTCCATTAGCTTGGAGTCTTGATCCAGCTCTTGATTTTCTGGCCAGAACAGGAGGCAGGCCAAGAAATAAGGGTCTGAGTATTGATGACTTGATTCTATGAGCTGCAGGACTTCTCGGAGCTGTTTTTTTAACATGTTGAGTGGTTGAATGAACTTGGAGTTGGGCTTTAGACAACTGAGAATAATGTTGGCCAAGATGAAGTTTTGCTTCTCCTTGGTCAGGCGTTTTTTTGGGTTTTGCCGCAGGAGGAAGCTGTATTCATTCACTATGCTTTCCATGGTGGTCGCAGCATCTATGTAGTTTGGGTTAAGATATTCTAGGAGTCCAGAAAACCTATCTGCTCTCAGAGCTTCTAGCTTTTTCCTGCAGTTCTCCTCCTGGAGTAGTTGACTCCCTTTACTTTGTAATAGACCCAGATCCAAATGGCAGAAAAGTTCTGTATACTTCCTGAAATAACGACTGACTTTCTTGCTTAACGTGACTTCCACAATTTCTTTTTGGGCATTCCTCGTTTTCAGAAGAACCAAATAATCCACAAAAAAGTCAAAGCACCTTTTCAAATCTGACTGTAAATTTTTTAGATGGGATGTGAACTTGCTGAGAGCCAAGTAATACTCATTTTTTGGATCGGGAGGAATCGTGCCCTTTCCTGACAAAAACTGTACCATCAGTTTTTTGGATGATTCATTTTCTTTGTGGAAGAAGGGAGTGAGCTGCAGAATCTGGATAGCGTAAAAAGTGACTTCTATCTCACCCAAGAAGCAAGATGTGTTGTACATGTCATATCTCCTCTGGGACTTCTGTGGTGACCAGGCCTCGGTCTCATAGTCTTTACTGTCCGTTTGCTTTTGGGATTCCTTGAATGCTCTGGAGGCCTTTTCGGCAACCTCTAGGAAATGTGTTAGATCGTTCACAGTGATGCTCCTGCAGTTTCTGTTTTCATCCAGCCACCATTTGATTTCACTTTTGTAGACTTGCCCGAGTGTGTCTGAGATATACGAATTTTGGGGGGCTCTCTTTTTGGCCTGGTGTGCCCAGTCCAGTGCAGTGTTAAAATCCTTCTCTTTAATGTAGAAATGTCTTGCTAAGGCTTGGCAGATGAATGCATTTTGTGGGAATCGAGTACTTCCTGCAGTCAAGACCTTTTCAATGTCTTTATTTGGTAAAGATTCCATCAATGGGGAAAACAAGGTGTCCATCTCATCTCCGTGCTCCTTGCGCTGTCTTGTAAGCAGAAGAGTTTGAACGTCATGTTGAAATTTGTCTTTTCCTATTCCATAATCATAGAACAAATTCTCCTCCAGTATCCTCAGTGCGATCTGACATTTGTCCAGGTGGTAGCTCGTCTCCAGTTCTTTCAGGCAGCACATGGCAATCAGGGGGTGGATGATGCGCACACCAGTGTACCTCCCATACTCCGCAACTTCCGTGTTTATCAGAAGTGTAGAATAGGTTCCCATCTTATCTTCCAGGCTTTCCAGTTCCCAGGCTGTACTAGCGCAGATGATGCCCAAAAACTGTTCACACTGCGACATGGAAATTGTAGAGTCAGTCACGTAGGAGTTGAGCAAAGCCAGGAAGGAGATGAGCTGAGCTTCCTTGCTGTCAGCATCCTGTCCCTTGAGGATGTTCCTGACTACGTTTTCTATATATGTTTCATCAAAATTGCTCTTCATGATCATGAAGGAATAAAAGTTTTCGCAGTTCTTGTGCTGCTTTTCAATCTCCTCCAGTTTGGCCTCAAAGGCTCTTTGTTCCTTGGCAGAAAGTTGATATTTCAGTGCAATACTGTCTGCTAATTTTGCACTTTCATCTGGATTCCGGGATCTCATGCAGTTTAAGATGATTACCAGTGTCTTTTCATATCTCAAGTCCTTATCTGTTAAAATGGAGTGAATCGCATTTTGCAGGACGTAGATGTTTTCTTGTTCTTCAAAATCATCCACAAGCAGAAGCACAGGAATGTAATCCTGAGGGCTGTTTGCCTTGTATGTGATCAGTCTGGTCACTTGTTCTCCAATTTCTGCAAAATCAGTTGCCTTGTTTTTTAACACGGCACATCTGAAATTCCTCTTTAGGTCCCAGAGAACATGCATAGCCAGCGTGGTACCCCCGCAGCCCGGATGGTGATAAAGATTGATAATTTTTGCAAATATCGGTTTGGGAGACTCTGCCCAGCAGTGTATTAACTCTCTGAGCTTTTCATAGCTGTCCCTTTTCACAAAAGCTGAAGAATAGTTCTCAGAGGAAAAATAGAAGTTCCACCAGGAGACTTTGCCGCCTCGATAGAAGTGCTCTTCTTTTGACTTCTTAAATTCCAAGAACTTGGATCTATCTTTCTCTATGTCTGTGTCTCTACACTCGTTTTCACAGAGAATTTCTAATGCAGTCAAGATGTCCTCTTTCTTTTTCTCTAGAATAACTGAAGAAGATCCCTGGGAGGGCAAAAACCTTCTTGATGACTGAGTTACCGATTTTAGCTTAAGGATGGTGCTGTTCACCTGTTCTATATTTAAAGTGGAAATACTGTGGTTTACTAATTCATCTTCCATCCTCAGTCTTGTTTGTAGCAGATCTTTCCAGCGCTGATGAATCTGTGAACTTACACAGATGCACAACATATTTTCCATCCCGTTGAGAGCTTGATAGAAAGCCCAGAAAGTTTCAATGAGTGGATCTCCTGGGCTTTCCACTGAAGAGAGTAATAGAAACACAACCAGAAATTTCCCTCTTGTCATTATGTTTTCATCTGTGAGGAATGAGATCAGCTTCCTGACTTCAGCAGCTCTTTCTCTCTGCCATAAGTGTGGGTCCAGAGGTCTATATGTGTCGCTTTTCAAGTCTGACCTGCCATTGCAGAACACCCAGCTGGGCTGCTCATAGAGATTCAGAGCAGAGATCTTCTCGCTCAGGTTGGCTGTCTTCTCTACATACTGACTTGGAAAGTGAAGGTTTGCCACTCGGCTCTCTCTGTAAACTTTGACCACTCCATTGACCCTTGATTCAGGATCAAACTCCAACACCGCAAACCATTTAATTTCCTTTAGGAAATCTAACTGTTTGATTTGGTTTGAATGGCATTTATTTGTGACAAGAATGTACCAGTCATAGTATGAATTATCCAGGGAGTCTCGGTTTCCGATGAGAAGTTTAACCAGCTTTAGGCCTTCACTCTCCTTCCTCGTTGCCTTCATTCCATATTCTTCCTCAGCCTCTTTTCTAGATGCTGTCAATGACTTCAAGCTTCGTAAAAATTCTTTAAAATCCACATCCCGTCGCTTGACATTGGCCAAGATATCCTTAGAGCTAGCCCCTTCTCTTACAAACAGTGAATTATCTTGGTTTTGTTTCCATACTTTATTTGTGCAGCTTTGCATCTGAATGTAGAAATACTTATCTTTACACACAGAGTGTTTGGGGACAGTATCTACTTCAATGACAAATCTGTCGGATGGTGTGCTGTTCTGCAGTAGGACTTCCACAAACCTTGGTTCCCGGATACACTTCTTGGCTTGGTTGATCTCAGATTCTTCAAAATACTTTTTGATCATGTGATTGAAGTGGTCGATGAAGGCATCCTTACTGGTGACTTTCACACCAACAATCTCTCCGTGTGGTTTGTCCTTGACCCCAAAATGGATGGTACCATTGGTGCGTGAATTCATACATGCTGATGCAAATCGGAAGACCTCATTGCTGAATTTCATCATAATGTCCTCTTTGGTGGCTGTGTCTGTATTTGTGAGTGCTTTGAACTCATGTATTGGGTCAATGAGATTGAGTGGCCCTGTTTCAGGTTGCAGAATACAATGTTCTATGTAACGATGGCTGTTGTGGAACTCATCAAAAGGATATGGCATACAAGTTGGCTGTCCCATGTTTGGCTTGTTCTTTTTCTTGTCTTTAGGGTTCGCTGTTTCGGCTATTGCATTTTCTTTCATAAGAGTTGGCACTTGTTCTTTGGCATCTCTGATCCCTCTGAGATCGTCATCAATATTGGATGACACTGAATTTTCCTCTTCCTTTTGTGTCTGTTTTGGCTTTTTGGGGTGTTTCTTTTGGGAGGGTTTTTTATGATCTAATTGTCCAGAATCCTGACTGTCACTTTCAGGGAAATTATTATTTAATTTGTTATACATACGTTTTATCAAAAGTGCTGGACCCCGTGGTAACCCCATCTCTATAAGGTCCTTCTCAGTTAATTCCTGCAGGACAAATCCTGTCACTTCTTCCTTGAGCAGAATCTGTCCATATTTCTCATCAATCTTAAGGTCTTCGATTACCCATTTTTTCACATGCTCCTTGGTCCAGTCTTTGGTCATTTCAGGCCGAGTTACTTGTTCACTCATATCCAAGCTTCAGCTTTCTTCCTTGGAAAGGTAATACAATAAGAATTTCAGCATTATCATTCATCACTGAAATCACAGTCAATTATGCATATAAATCTCATACAAAAGATATATATATAAAGCATGGTCCAAGACTGACTCTCAAAACTGCTTGATACTTATTTTAAGTATTTTACAGCCCCAAACAAAGTCTTTCTTCCTTCCTTCCTTCCTTTCCTTCCTTCTTTCCTTCCTTCCTTCCTTCGCAGGATTTATCAAGAGGACAGAAAAACTCCCATAGCAGGAGAGGACCTGAGGAGGTTGCCCTATTTCTTGGGTGATTGTAACTGTGATTATGAAATAAAGAGTAGCTGCTAACTAGGTGACACATTCTTTTATTCTTGCTGTAATTATCCCTCTGAGGTTTAAGTTGGTGAAAGTTGAGTTTTTATAACCAGAATCGTAAGTAACATGGAAACTGGTTCCCATAGCAGAATATCATCGTAAATCAACTTTAAAATAATGAAACTGGGTAAGAAGTGAAGGTGGTTTGGGGAAGGAAGCCCTGTAAACAGCTGGCTATCTTTGTTGCATAGCAACAGAGTAATTGGTTAAATCACCACCTATTGTCTTTTGGAACTCAAGTTGTCAGGCCACAAGACTAGAGTTTGGGGGACTTGGTAGCAAAATGCCAGGATAATTGATTTGGTTGACTAATTCTTGTGGCTTTCAGAAGGTTCCAAAAGAGGTGAGCTCTAGTTCCAGCTGGCCTGCCTAAAACTAGACAGGGAAAACAGCATGAGTTTTTCACTTTGTTGGAGCTACTTTCACCCAAATTACTCATACTTGGCTAATGTAGACCATACAGTTAAGAACGTTGCTGTATCACAAGCGCCGCCAGCAATGGACCCCTAGAGCAAAGGGCTCAGCCTTGGCTTTGCCTCAGAATCACCCAGCGCCACACCCAGCCCTGTGTGAACTGGCTGAGGGAATGTGCATGGTGTTTTCAGGCATTTGTACATTCTAAAATGTGGCTGGGCCAATCTGTTGTGCAGCCAATACCTAGTGCAGTGCTGTCAAAATGTGACTCCAGGCCAGCAGCGTCACCTTCCCGGAAGCTGGTTGGAAATGCAAGTTCTCAGGCTCCCCAGACCTACTTAGTCAGAACTGAAAAGATAGACCAATGAGCAGTTTTGAGTAGGGGGACATACAAGAAAGTTAGAATATTTTAAAGATAAATAGATGAAAAACATTCAGGATCAAATAAAGCAAAAATATTAAAATAAACTCTAAGAGAGACAATACCAAGCAGTTTTAAAAGTTGGTAATTTTTGAAATGAAAGATTTAAAAAACCAGTTTTGTTTGTTTGTTTATGAATGCACAACCACTCTCTATGTTGAGCCAAGCCACAGATTGGAACCATCTGTGTTTGGGGTTTCTGGTGAGAATTCCCCTGAAAAGTCCCTTGCAGTTAAGCTAGGAGTGCAGGCTCTTGGGGCTTCAGCCACAGCCCCGTGGTGGGAGAGGACTCGTGTGAGCCATCTGAGGTGTGAGACCTTGTTCTCATCAAGTGACTTACCATCAGGGGTAGGCAGCTACTGGGCATAGTGGCCTCCTCTTGCCATGATAAAAGGTTTCCTGGTCATTTTAGTGTCTGAACTCTTAGTCACGCTGGTTTCAGCAGTGGGTCACAACCAGTCCTGGGCAAGTGAGCAGAACCAAGAACACTGTAGAAATACTTCAGGTGAGCAACTCTGTCCATTTGTAGCAAAGAAAGAATTCACTTGTGAATCATGCAGGTGTCACATCAAAAGAAAAGTTCATGCTAACAAATGGTGGTAAGTGCTTTGTGTAAGACACAGAATGGGTATCGGACATCCTTAGGAGGAGAAGGAGGCATCACTAGGAGGAGGGGGAAGGATCACTAGGAGGGGGAGGATGGATCACTAGGAAGAAGAGGACATCATTAAAAAGAGGAGGAGGGGATCACTATGGGGGGAGGGATCACCGGAAAGAGAAGGAGGGATCACTATGAGGAGGAGGAGAGATCACAAGGAAGAGAAGGAGGGATCACTAGGAGGAGGAAGGATCACTAGGAGGAGCAGGAGGGATCACTAGGTGGAAGAGGACATCACTAAGGAGAAGGAGGGGCTCACTAGGAGTGGGAGGAGGGATCACAAGGAGGAGGATCATAAGAAAGAGGAGGATGTCACTAAGAGGAAGAGGAAGGAATCACCGGGGGGGAGGCATCACTAGGAGGGCGAGAACATCACTAGGAGGAGGAGGGATCATGAGTAGGAGGAGGAAGGATCACTAGGAGGAGGAGGAGAGAATAACTCAGAGGGGGAAGAGGAATCACTGGACAGAAAAGAGGAATCACTAGGAAAAGGAAGACATCACTAGGAGGAGATGGGATCACAAGGAAGGGGAAAAGGATCACTACGGGGGAAGAAAAGATCACTTTGAGGTGAAGGAGGCGTTGCTGGGAGGGGGAGGAGGACATTGCTAGAAGGAGGAGGAAGGATCACTGGGAGGATTAGGATGAATCACTAGGAGGAAGAGAAGGGATCACGAGGAGGAAAAGGAGGGATCACTATGAGGTGGAAGAGGCATCACTGGGAGGAAGAGGAGGGATCACTAGGAGGAGGAAGGCAACACTGGGAGGAGGAGGAGGGATCAATAGGAAGAGGAGGACATGACTGGAAGGGGAGGAGGGATCACTTGGGTAGGAGGGATCACTGGGGGGAGGAGGAGGGCATTGCTAGAAAGAGGAGAAGAGATCACTGGGAGGAGAAAGAGCGATCACTGGAGGAGGAGGGGGATCACTAGGTGTGGAGGAGGGAACACTAGGAGGTAGAGGAGGAATCACTAGGAATAAGAGGGTACACCAGGAGGAGGAGGATCACAGGGAGGAGGAGGGATCGCTGGGAGGAGGGGGGATTACTAGGAGGAAAAGGAGGGATCACTAGGAGGTGGAGGGATACCAGGAGGAGGGCTTTGCTGAGAGGAAGAAGAGGGATCACTAGGGGGAGGAGGGGCATCACTAGGAGAAGGAGGAGGGGTCGTGAGAAGGAGAGGAGGACATCACTAGGAATTAGGCAGGACTAGTTGTTCTTAGGATAAACATGGCTAACTCTTCAAGACCAATAGCTGCGGCAGTTTTCTCTAGACAGATGAAGAGCTTGGTTTTCTGAACCCCACAGAGAAAAATAGGATGTGGTTAAGAACCTGTCAGAGCCACCTAAAACCAAGATGGCAACTCACTTGCCCACGACAGGTGTCAGCTCTCGTCATGAGTTCACTATTGTCCATTAGCAGACTAGATGACGTGCCTTCCCAAGCCATGGCAGTGCAAATGCTGTCCATTTGTAGCTTCAAGCTGGGTGGACCCAGTTCTTAGAAGTCCCCACTGCTTCCCAAGAAGCCCACGAATATTCCACCCCTTGCTTAACGTAAAATCGAGATGTAATCATGAAAGTAACATCTCAGCGATGCTGTTCTTCCCCAAGGGCAGCCCAGGCTGCTCTACCTACATAGTAGCCTGCTGTCTGTCATTTTCTCTTAATAAACTTAACTTTCACTTTACTTAGTGGCTGGCAAAATTCTTTCCTGAACAAAGCTAAGAATCACTTGTCCTCTCAGGCTGGACCCCAATCTTGAAGTCCCCTGTTTTATGTCAGCTGGACACTCACCCTACTCCCACACCTTGAATGGAGCACGGCTGGATGCTGGCCCCAAACATTGACTGGTCTCACCCAATGCCCCCAAGCACCCTGCTGCATTTTCCTGCTTTATCCACTCTCCTGTTCTCCCAAATGACCATTTCAGCCTCTCCTCTCATCAGACCTCCAGCTCCTCCTCCTCGTGTCTCTCTCCACGATGACCTTGCTTCTTGTGGAAACTGGCACAGTGAAATAATCCAGGAGCGTTTCCCAACCCCAACCACATCTACCCCAGGCTCGTCCTGGCCTTGTCACTGCATCCTATGTTCTACCTTAGTCTGCCCTCTGAGTGGTCTGCCGCCCTAGCCTCTCCATGAGGTTCACCTCTCCATGGCACCTGCCCCCCAACTACTCCAGGAAGCTGCCCCAGCAGGCCTCCACTCTCTGGCTGGCTTCTTCAACCTGTCCTTGTCTCCTGGAAGTTATGTGCAATTGTTTTCTTGTGAAGCAAGACACTTTAGAAACTGCTCATGACCCATCTTTCTGCTTTCTTCACAGCAGAACTATCTCCCGTTCCGTTTCTGGTTTCTCTTCTCCCATCCTTACAGAGCGCCCTCCACACAGGCTTGGCCCTCACTTCCTAAAACTCACTTGGCATTGCTGCAGACATGGCTTAGAGAAGTCTCCATCCAGCAGTGCCCTGGAGATGTCTTTCTCCTGAGACACTCTTCCTGCAGGCTTGTGGGATACCTTGCTCTCCTAAGCCTCTTCTACTAGCTGGTCCTCCCCACCTTCCTCTGCTACTCCTGGCCTCTGGATGCAGATGTGCCTCCTGGGACCAGCCTCTCTTCCTATGGATGGCGTCCATCTCACTTAAACACAATCCATAGGTCTGTGAATTCCACATTCAGCCGTCAGTCCTGGCTTCCCCCAGGGTGTCCATGCACCTGCCTTCTCCATGTCCATCTGGAGAGCTAAGGGTCCTCATGAAACAAGCATGGCCAAAATTGACCCCCTGATATAAAGCTCCCCAGCTGCTACTCCCACGGTTTATCAGTGATGGATCATGACAATTGTTCAAAGCACAAACCCTGGCGACATCTTTGACCACGTACCTTTCACTCACTGCCTTAGCAAATACCTCTCACCATCCCCCGCTTTCCCTGCTGCTGCCACCTGGTCCAAGCCATCCTCTCTCACCAGGATTATCTTAGTAGTAACCTGGCCCCCCTGACTTTGGCTCTGTCCTCCCCCACCCTGTTCCCTCTGTGTTCGACACAGCAGTCCACCCAATCCTGTTCAGAGGTAGATGTGATCATGTGATTCAGCTCAGATCCCTCTGGAACATCAAAGCGCTCTCACAGTAAAAGCCCAAGTCCCAGAACAAGGTCGACAGAACAAGACTGCCCTCTCCTTTCAACCTCATCACCTTCACTCGCTCACTCCAGCGGCCAGGTGGCTTTGCTATTCCCTGGACATGCCAGCTGGGCTGCTGCATCAGGTCTGTGTCCGAGCTGTTACCGCTGCTTGGGATGCTCTCCTTCCAGATCCCTGTGTAGCTCACACTCTCACCTCCTTCAGTTCTTTACTCAAATTCAGGACGGACTTTCTTAAATGTCAGTCCTTTTTCCAGCACTTTCCAGTCCCCTTTCCTGCTTTAATTTTTCACTTTAACATTTGCATACTAAATATTTTATTTAATTGTATTTCTCCTCCTGGGTCAGAATATAACCTCCATGGGAACAGGCGTTTTTGCCTGCTATTTGTGGGTGAGTCACCAGGGCCCAACATATAAGTACTCAGTAAATATGTGTTGATGAGAAAATAAAAATTTTAGATTGGTGAAACAACGGAGACATGATTTTGCAACCCATGGGCGAGCAAGTCTTTGGAACAGAGAATTTGGGAGATCTTTTCCTTCTGTTCCCCATCGGATCGGCACCAAGTCCAGCGTTTGTGTCAGCAGGTCGTCATGAGGAAGAGAGGCATTTACTTTTAAAAAGAAATGTTAGTGACAACCTTCACCTCACAGGCAAGTGGCTGGGACCTGAAGCCTCCTATAAGCCTGTGTCCTGACCCCCATTGTTGGTCCCAGTGTCTCACCCACAGTTCCTGAGCCAGTGCATTTCGGAACAGGGCTGACCCTGGGCAAGCCCACAGTTTTGCTGGAGCTGGGGGAACCCCCGCCGTGCCCACTCTTTTCTGCTCTGGGATAATTTTGAAACCCAGAGTTCTCTTTACTAGTACACTCGTCCCTCCCTATCCACAGGTTCCATGGATTCAACCAACTGTGGACTGAAAACATTTGGAAAAAAATTGCATCTGTATTGAGCATGTACAGATTTATTTTTCTTGTCTTCCTTCACTACTGTATGCTGTGCCATACAATACAGCAACTATTTCCACAGCATTTACACTGTATTAGGTATTGTAGGTGACCTAGAGACGGCCTGAATTACACGAGAGGGATTACACATCATTTTATCTCAGGGGTTTGAGCATCATGGATTTTGGTGTTTGAAGGGTCCTGGAAGAGTCCCTTGCAGACATGGAGGGAAGACTGTCCCTAATTTCAGGACCTTTTTCCTAAGGACTTTTATTTTCTCTCTTTGGAGGTTGAGCAGGAAGGGTCAAGCCAGCCTGCTTCTGGCAAACTCTGGTACCACTCCATATCCCTGAGACTGGGCGTTGCGGGAGCACTGGTGTCTGAGGCTCAAGCTCAGGCCCCGTGCTCTGAGGTTCTGAGGACTGCAACCACAGTGCCAATTAGTTTCATTTTTATGAAGAAAACATTAATTTTATATATTGTTTCCCGTGGTCTCTATATAAGCTAGTTATGAACAAAAAGTCTTACATAAAATGAAGATTAAACTTTGGAGGGTTTTACCACTAATAAGTATAAATTTGTGTACCATCTTAAGTGATACAGGACAGAGTTTTGCATGGCTGCACATTACTGTAACTTCCTACACAGCTTTGCATGCTTGGGTTCCTGGTCATCTGGCCTCCATTTTACCTAGGTCTAGCCTGCACAGAAACTTCTACCTCCAGAAATACTCTACAGTCTCCCCAAGTGTGCTGGAAGGTTTCTTCCTACGGAATTCTACAGTCAGTCCGAGTTACTGCAAGCGGCATGTCTATGAAAGCAGCAGTCTTTCTCATTTCTTTTACTATGAAGTCATTTATCCACACTTGCAAATATACTTATTTTCAAAATACACTGCTTTACTCTCTTGTATTAGTTTCTAAGGACAGCTTTTAAAGACAGTAGATTAAACATCTTAATGATTAGAAACTTACCAAGGCTTTTCTGAAAACTTCCACTTTTCTGTTAGAAACAAGTCTTCATGGGTAACCCCTCAGGTCCCCTCCTGCTCTAGAAGCTTTTCTGTCCTCTCAATAAATCCTGCTTAAAAAAAAAGAAAAGAAAATAAACAAGTCTTCATGAGGCTCTGTGACCTGACTCCTTAGATAAGTTTCCTTTTCTTGAGAATTTGCCAGGCACGTTCTGGAAGGCAGCTATGAGGAAGAAGAGGTGGGTGTAACAGACCTGGCTCTTGTTCAGTTTGCCTGAGGATATATTTGTTGAGAATCTATTACCTAGTAAAATGATATCACAGCCAAAAAATGCAATGGACTGGGCTGCTGCTTAGAAACTGTTTATGGAACAGATTTTCTTTCTACCTTTCTACTATGAAAATTTTCAAACATAAAGAAAATGTGAAAGCATAGTGAAAGGAATACTCCTTTCCCAGGCAGTGTCTCTTTCTATGCTTAAACACTTCAGTAATAAGAGAGATCAATATCCAGGAATATGTTGCAGCTTACACTTTCCCTCCTGCAGCATTCCTCATGCAAAGTGGAGCAAAGACCTTGGTCTGTGTCTTCAAAATATATCCCTCATTTGACCCTCTGTGGCCTCTACCACCTGGTCCATGCCTCATTTGACCATCTGTGATCACTACCACCTCATGTTCTCCTGGGTGACGGGAAGAGCTCTCTTACCAGTTTCTCTCTTGCTGTCACTGATCCCTTCAGGGACTTCTCAAAGGAGCCATCGAGGTGACCTTGTCAAACTGCGAGCAACATTCCACCGGTGTTCTGCCTAGCCTCCCCAGTGGCTTGCTGCCTGACTCAGAGTGAAAGCCACATCATCACGAGCCACAGTCCCACCTGACCTGTCCTAGTCAGCCCTGACGCCACATCAAACCATACTTTCCTCTCTAAGTCTGCCCCACCCCAACCTGCCCAGGGTCCAACCTTTGTGCCAGTTCTCTCCCCGGAATGGCCTTGAACCCCTACCAGGCTCACTCCCTCACTTCCCCAGACCCTCTGTCCCTGTCAGACTTCCAGGAGGCACTGCTGGGCCGCCCTACTGCAAGCCTCCTCCCACCTCCCACACTTCCTATTCCTCCTCTGGCTGTATTACTATTGTTGTTTTCTCTCAACTTAGGACTTTCAACAATCATATGCTCCATATGTTTTCACCTTTTTGCCTTGTTCACTTTCTGTCCCACCCATCATTCTGTGCATTCCACAAGGACAATTTTGTTTATACTTTGCTCACTTACAGTACCCAGCACTGATAGCTTCCTGATACACATTTGGTAAATGATTAACGAATGTTCTGAGAATGGTTAAAAGTAATGCATTTCTGAAAACCCTCAAACTAGCAACATTTGGGGGTCAAAGGACTTCCTCATCTTTGCAAAGTAATTATTTCACTTGGCTGGAATCCCAGACAGAAACCTGGGAAATGTTTTGTTCTGTGCTGCCCATTAGGCCAGAACTGATCCCAGCTTCTATCATCTGGTCATAAAGAGTGAAAAGAAAGCTCTGTTGAATGGAAGGGGAAATTATCAAGTACATTTCCTCCTGCAGTTCTTGCAAGGGCCCCAGTGTCATCACACACATTGTCACATTCTGTGTGTCACCCTCAGCCCTGAAGGAGGCCATTCCTCACAGGGTTTTCCCTGCAGGAGGTTCCTTGACTCCAGGGCCCTGGTCCAAGCCTCAGTACTCTGCTGGGTAGGTGATCCCCTGGCCAGGGACTGACCCCTGTCAAGATACACTCTGTTCTGGTCAGATGCAAGCCCCACTCTCAGCTGGGATCCCCTTTCCGTCATCAAGCCATCCTTCCTCCCTCTGGGTGTCCAAAAGCCTGGAATGACTGACCCAAGTGTTTCCTTGTGTTTTAGCCAGTGTCAGCGATCTCGTGTGACCCAGCATTCTGGAAATGAAGCAGCTGGTCAGGGATTCCCTCTGTCCTGGATCCCTTCTCTCTCTCTCTTTAAGATTGGAAAATAGCATTTATTTAGAAAGTAAATTAGAGAAAAGAGAGAGAGAAAGAGGTGGAGCCCTTCTCTTTATAGCTCTGTAGACTCGACCTGGTCATGGCACATGTGCGCTCCTGTCTAGTGCAGGAGATGCTGCACAGGGACTTTGCGCCACTAGCAGGTGACAGCTTTCTCTCACTTCCATGTGTCCAGACTCTGCCAATAGACACCAGGGAGATGCAAATATTTTTCTCAGTAGGAGCATTGACGTTTAGCCCCCAAACCTGGAGTCTTTTATTCTCTTAAATGGAAAAAGAGACTGTATGCCTGTTATTTTTTATACTATGAGGAGAAAGCTGTTTTTCAAAACTTTAATTGTAACTTTTTTATAAATTGTACTTGTTTACTCGTTAGGTTTGTCTCCACATGCTATACCAAATTATTTAATAGTATCCTTGGACCTAGTATAATGTTATAGTGTTAATAATTATTATGCGTTATGTTATAATGCTACAATTTCCCATCTCTGCTTCTCTAATATGATGGCAGCTTTGAGTATATAGTGATCTGAACCTATGATATTCAGCACTGCTTTGAAAATAGTTTGCCCTGTGTCAATTTTAAGCATCAGCATACTCAGTATGTTGTTGGAACTAAGTAAAGATCAAGGTTGTCATGATCAGTATGGACACGTATTGGGGGTTGCCTTGACATAACTTTCTGCTTCCTAGGGGCCTTCAGTCTCTTGTTTGAGGACCACTGTGGGCACAGATCTTTTTGCTAGTGGTGTTGATTATTGACAGAGGAATGCAGGTGCCCGTTTTCTCTGTGATGGCAAACAAGAAGTGCCAAGTCAGCAGAGCCTCTAGGGCTGAGTGCGGGTGCCCCATCCCCAGGAGTCCCCAGCAGCACCCAGTGGCCACACCCTGAGGAGTTCTGTTGCAAGACTCCTAGAACACTTCAGCACCCAGCACCAGCCCGGGAGGGCGGCACACTCTCTGAGAGGCTGACAGATCGAAACGATGAGCAAATCAGTTTCGTTTTCCTGAAGCATGCTTTGCATTTTTTTAGTTTTCAAGCAGATTGCTGTGTAAAATGGATGACCATGAAAGATTTAAGGGGAGCTAGCCTCCGGAGAGTATGATTTTTGATGGCTGTGAAACTTTAAATGATGTCTCACGTTGTGAGGACAATTTTGCATAATTACCCCTGACCCAGGTCCTTGTACAGTCTTCCACACTTACATCCCGCACCCTCTTGGCATCGTTTCTCTGTCCTCTTTCCCATCAGCTTGTGGAGACCAGAAACCCTTTTGCCATGCGATCTGGTTCTCAGCATCCTAATTACGCTTAATGGTGCATTTCTTTTTAGAAGAGCTCTTAAAAAATGTCTCTCAGTTAAATATAGTGATATGCATTTAGCATAATGAATTCTCTAATTACTTTAATATTTTTATATGTTTATGTACAAACATGTATTTATATAAAGAGTACAGCTCAATTTAAATAAAATAGCTGTCCTCTCCTAGGCATAACAAATAAAGGTTTAATGAGTCATTAACTTACCAGGGTTTTCCTGAAGACGTCACCCTGTGCGATCAGAAGCCTGGAACACTCTGTTTAACTCTAGCTTTCGTGTTTTCCTTCTGATGGCTAGCAGATCTTGGGTCGGAAGGGTCCTGTTTTGAAAGTAAAGTCATGAAGTTGCGGCAGTTCTGCTCTCGCTGGGTATGCTGACGCGAGGTGTGAGCTCAGGGAGGAGCAGAAGCAGGAAATAGAAACAGAGAGTTTCTGTTTCTCTAGAGAAGGGAATTTCTTGGATTTGGAAGGATGTGAGATATTTTTTAAATAGCATCACAGACAAGTATCAATACATTTGAGCCACTGCTTAGAAACTATTCACCAGACAGATTTTTGAGTCATAAGATCAAGAAATAAAGAAAAAATGAAAGTCACCTACAGTACAGAGAGGTTAGAAATACCAGGGACAGCCGTAAAACTCAGTGTGATCTCAGTTCCTCTTAGGGATTGCCTTGTGGCCTCCCAAATTCATATGTTAAAATCCTAATCCTCAGTGCCCTGGAATGTGAGACATTCGGAGACAGGGTCTTTAAAAAGGTAATTAGATTCAAATGAGGTCATTAGAGCGACCCTAATTCAATGTGACTGGAATCTTTATAAGAGGAGAGAGCTGGACCCAGGCAGAGGGCTAAGACCACGTGAAGACACCAGGGGAAGATGGCCATCTGCAAGCCAAGGAGGGGCTGCAGAAGACACCAGTCATGGTGACACTGTGATCCGGACTTCTAGCATCCAGAACTGTGAGAAAATAAATCTCTGTTGTTTAAACCAGCCAGTGTGTTATGGCAGCTCTAGAAAAATAGCACAGTGCTCTTAAACTCTTCTGCTTGCTGAGTTATCGTCAATTTCATTATCTGTTGAAAATTAAAACATTATTTTTTCTTTTTGGAGGTGATAGATATGTTTAGGCACTTGATTGTGGCGATGGTACACCACATATACATGGCTAGACTCACCAGGATGTGTAGACTCAATGTATACAATTATTTGTATATTAATTATACCTCAATAAAGCTAAAAACCATTATCTCTTCTATTGTGAATATAGTAAAAATTTATCTCCAAACAAAAAATACAGAATAAAGAAGAGAAAATCCATATTACTCAAATACAATCTCTGTTTCCTATTGTTTATCCCCTTTCATTTTTTCCTATATATACTTTTAAAAAACATAAATTTAACATTTGACAAATTTTACCAGATTCTAAAGGATGATGTACAATGTCCAGCAATCTACAGTGTTTTATTAAGCTTTGTCTTTCTCTCTCAATAAGCATCATCTTGTAGGTCCTCACCTTCCCACCCCTGTCCATTTCAACCTCATCACTCCCAACTCATGACACGTCTTCCCATGTACAAGATAAAATGGAGCCCATCAGAGGGGTTGTTTCACACACATGTTCTTCCTTCAAGCCCTCAGGCTCACCTGCACCTCTACTGTCTCACTGTTTTGCCCACAATGGAGTGGTGTTTCACAAACCACAATGCACGTTGACATCATCTGAGAGCTTTCAAAAAAGCAGATGCCCAGGA